TGGGATTGATGACTTTTCCGGCTTTGCTCACAATGTCTCAGTAACTTCATTCCCCTCTTGTCCTAGTAGCTTCATTCCTCGTCTCAGTGATTGCTACTTTCTCTGTCTGTCTCAGTAACTGTATTAATCTGCGTGGCATTGTATCAGTGTGTGTCTCTCACGCTACGAGTACACGTACATGTATGTCATTCTATTCTAAGTAATTATATCATTTTCTGTGTCAGTAGTTATATCATTCTGTGTCAGTAATTATATCATTTTCTGTGTCAGTAATTATATCATTTTGTGTGTCAGTAATTATATCATTTTCTGTGTCAGTAATTATATCATTCTGTGTCATGATTGAATCATTTGGTCTCTGTAATTGTTTTATCCCCCTCTAACAAAAGTATTCTGCTCCGTTTTATTTTCTGTATCATTGTATACTTAAGGATCGAATGGCATTCATACCGGCATGAATATTGAAAATTCTGTTCAATCCTGATGCACTGTATTTACATCATAATTTTAATATATATTATTATTGAAGCTTCTGTGTCAAGCTTCCTGGAACAGCCTAACGTGTTTGTTTCCAATGGTTAAAATTGGCTCCCGTGACGGGCAGAAAAAGCTTCAGAATAACACTGATCAATTTGCGTTTATAGTCCAGTGAACGCAATTTCTTCTGTATAAAGGGACTTGCAATGGAAATGGATATTCTAACCTTTAAGGTGACACTGATCAAATCGCATGCATAGCCCTATATGGTAAAGCTTAAAGAAGAGCTTGCAGTAGAAATGTGACTATAGATGCTTGTCTAAGTAACTGTTACATTCTCACCTTGTCTTATACCCTCCACATCATGTCATCGTATTTGCCCACTTTGCACCATGGTCACATCGTCATCATAGGTTCGTACCGCAGCTTTGCAGACGATTTTCGCTATATTTCGGTGTTTTTAAAGATCCTGTACTTCTCCAGAAAAAGCAATTGTAAAATTTCGTTCAAACAGTTACCTCCCCTTAATTTTGGTTTTGATATACCTGTAACTGAAGCGCGACATGGCCATGTCACTGTAATCGATCAGCTGGTAGCTCACTTGATTAGATCGGCATCACATGTTTAATGATAGGAATTCAACGGTTCGAATCCATGTTAAACCAGGTTTCCCCAAATCAAAATATTGTTTTTGATTGGTTAAATATTCATTTTCATCTGTACTATTTTTCATAAGAGTCCTTTAGCCATGCTGGGAAAACAGTTTCCAGTAAATAGTTACAATTTTGGTAGTGTTTTTTTTGTATGTTCTGGATCTACTTCTGTTGATACATCCGTTTGCTGGTCACTAGCAAAGCATGCAACAAAAATGTGGGGTTTAGGTTGGATGTCTCCGTATCAAACACTCGTACTGACTATGTGAATACTTATATCTGATGGAATTGACGTTTTATTTTACAACTATTTTTAAATCGCGACGTAACACAGAGTCTTTTCATCTTTGTACATTTTGTATTTAAAAAGACTGAAAGCAACACTTTCAAGGCACACATGTACCAATGTGTCGTAAATAGCTTCCTTTTAACATGAATTTCCTCGGTAACTTAGTAATTTCAAATAATTCGTGTAATATGGTTATGATAAGGAAACATTTTTAACAATGAAAATATTATCCATATTTGATAAAAGAGTATTGTATTTTGTAATTAACAACCTGATAACGTATAGTTTCATTCAGATTATAGTCATGACTTTATAACCAAGCATCTCGCAGATGTGTTTTTTAAAGGCAACATATTTCAACCTCATCTTAAATTTTAATCTGTTTTTCAAAAGGTCCATTTTTCCTGATACGTTGAAACTATCTGCGGTATCACGGAATGTTATCAATGTTATTTATAACGGTGCAACATTATATTGAACACACGACGCTAGCCCTTCTGTATTACTGCAAGCTGCATGCAGATAATACCTACATTGAAACCTGCTACCCCACGTACACCCTCGGCACGTGTTAGGGAAGATAATAAGGAAACAGGATACCATTGTACGAGGTATAGCACCAACAGGCTTCAGGAACCTTCAGCAGCATGCAAAATGATGACGTGCAGTTTTCACGGTTCACTGAATAGAATTTGCACCTGTTTACGACGGGGTTTAAATTTGAGGTGAAAATTACATAATTCCGGGCTGTAAGTGATCTCCTTATCGTATTGAATGATCTATGCTACTCGGGGGCGTATCCGAATTGCTCTCCGTTCCGTTTTCGCTGTAATGTCTCCCGTTGTCTTTCCATTATCTTCACTAGCCGATACCGATATACCATTGCGGTATCGCGTTGAGAACTATTTTCTCCGTCCGAACTTTATTTATCTGCAGTGTTTCTATTGTGTTATCATGGTCGCGCGAACGCTGTCCATTGTTTCTAGATAATCACTAGATTTATCACCTATCGCGGTATGTGTTACCGCTCTCCAATTGCACGGTACGCGTGGCCGCCCCTCTCACACCAATATTTCACGGCGGGATGTCCGCGGGACTCACCTCCCTTGATACCCCCTCATTTGTAACGTTTTATCAAAGAAAGTACGGGTTTGGAAGCAACCAACATTCTGGACAAAGGAATGTGAACTTGCATCTTAGCACATACGAGGACGAATTTTCCGATTTGATGTTGACTTTTTTTATACTTATTAAAAAAAAAAACAGAAATAAAACTTGAAAGTACAAATGTCACTGAACGCTTTCATGAATGACGGTTTGACTATTGCAATGATGGATCCATGAATGCCAGGATGACTTAGCGTGTGACCAACACACATCTGCATTGCTCAAGTCCAAATGTGGAACATTAATATTGTCTGAAATCACTTTTAAATCGCTTACTGTATAAAATATCTTCGAGCTTGGATTCTACAAAGTTTTCGTTTGTATGTGCAGAGATGGTTAGAACGTCTCCAGTGTACAAAGTGTTCGGACGGTCTCTAATGGGGGCCTTCAGAACGTCTGTCCAGTGTAGTTACAAAGTGTTCGGACGGTCTCTAATGGGGGCCTTCAGAACGTCTGTCTAGTGTAGTTACAAAGTGTTCGGACGGTCTCTAATGGGGGCCTTCAGAACGTCTGTCCAGTGTAGTTACAAAGTGTTCGGACGGTCTCTAATGGGGGCCTTCAGAACGTCTGTCCAGCGTAGTTACAGAGTGTTCGGACGGTCTCTAATGGGGGCCTTCAGAACGCTTGTCCAGCGTAGTTACAGAGTGTTCGGACGGTCTCTAATGGGGGCCTTCAGAACGTCCATCTGTACATTGTACATGTGTAATTATAGATACAAGAGCATAACTTTAATTTCACCTTCTTACTAGTTTTAATAATATATTTATAGTTTTACAGACAGTAATGAAACCAAGGAGGTTAGATATATACTGTATCATCTTACCAAATTATATTATTTCAGAAAACAGCGATTCACTTACTGGATTCATAATAGTATCTCGTAGGCCTAGTTTTATCGCTAGTATCGGATTACAGTCTAAACCACGGGGCACTTGCAGTAGGAAATGCCCCAATGATATATGGCGTCACTTACTACGAATTATGTTCTCATTTATTTGCTATTTTGACAGCAACAACCTTCATTTTCCTTCTCGGATCTCCAAAAGTTGAATTATGTATTGGAGTTGAGCCTGTGTGTATACTAGCCGGCCATTTGTCCACACCCTCTCCCCTAATGAGTATTTACTTTTACCATAACCGTTCTTTTATTACAATATTTACGAGAACTGCTCTGAAAGCCCTACGACTATAAGATATCCTCAGCAACACATTTCGCTCCATTAAAATGAAAGATCTACGATGCTGCGGTTGTATATTATTTTCCAAACTTCAAACGAAATCTGTAAAGGGTAGCGCATACAAGTCCTCTGAGAGCTAGGGAGTCGGTTACTACAAAAACAAATCGAGTTTAGTGTTCCAGCACTGTCTGTAGTACATGAGTACACACGGGGCCTACAAACACTTCAGCCTATCTTTGTATACGGTGTAAATGACCGATAGTATCGCCAATGACACCTTTATAATACGAGACAGTAATTGATTACATTTGTATACCCGAAATAGAGTACCGCACCCGGTTAATTATAACCAGGTGCAGTGCTGTGATAGAAATAAACTGTTGCATTAAAAATATATTATTCAATATATCTGATGATGCACTCTCACAAGTAAGTCTTAAAAAGTGCAATGTGAGAATGTATGATATTTTAAATATAATATTCATCCATATTTCCGGTTTTACTAGATCACAGATGCCTGTCTGTTTTTGGTAAACTTTTCGACCGCTTCATCGAACTTCGTACTTCCACCCTTACTAATGTATTCTTATCACTGTAAATCTGTATAAGGAGTGATCTTGCCATACGAATAAAAAAATCATTGTCACGGGGGCGTGTCACATAAATGATTATTTCCCCATATATATGTTTAATACTAATACGAACACAGGGTCTAATGGCATCACACTATTATCTAGCCCGAGTGTCAATAGCCACTCGGTATTATTTATTGGAAAACACATCAACTTAATCAAGTATCAACAACGTATTATATAATATTTATAATTGAAATGTACAGTTTCTAAACACACTATATAGTTATCTGTTCCAGTACTAGTAAATATTTGTTCAAACAACTTATTAATGTCGTTTTCTATTTTGATGAAGATATTATATATTAAGAATCTTATTTAAGGAGCAATGCACATTTGTCCCTTCCAGGCGTAATCCAAGAAAACTGAACATGGAAGCCAAAACAATGCTTTAAAGCTAGCTACGAATTGACCTCGACAACGAAATGCACAGTTTGGTACTGTTCAACTGTAACTAACGTTCTGGTTGTCCTATATGATATATCGAGCTAATCCAGAACTATATTTACCGGAACATTACCTAAAAAACTGAAATATAATAACACAATGAGTTCTACATCTTCTATGCCAAAACAATGGTGATGAGAGCCAAAACGAACATAAGACGCACCATTTGATTGGTCGAGACGGAATGGTATCCTTTCGGAAAGTGACTGCAGCGTTTTTCTTATCTACTGCGTGTCTGCGAACTGACACAAATGCATGGGCCCAGCTGAAATGTTCATTGTCGTCAACACACCGTACCTCTGTAGCAGATTTATGACGAAGAGATCGCAATTGTCGTTTAGTTTCTCCTCATAATGGAAGAACCAGAACGAGCGCTTAATCCAAGCGCACAGAATGGTTCTAACAGTACATGTGGTGGTTATGCCTCGACCATGGGGCGATTTTTCCATCAGAGATCTAGTGCTTTTGACTGTATGCACCCTCCCTCCGGTGGTGTAGGAGTAGGGGTGGGGGTCGGACTGCCCCCTCCCCCACCCTCAGGATTCGGGTACTCCGGCTATCCCGGAGAGTGGGGGTTTATGTCGGGGTCGTATTCGCCTGGATTTAATTTCAATAGAACGTTTAACACGCCATCGGCCAATTTATTTCCAGTGTCTTCGCGGGATTTCAATGTATCCCTGCCTTCTGTGACGTCAGGACCTCCTCCCCTCATAGGGTCCAGCCCGACCTCCGGGGTGCTGCCGTGCGAGACATCTGACGCATACGAGTCGGGTTTGTGTGGGTCGTCATGTAGCCCGTCACCCACGGGCCACTGTCTGACAGACGACCTGGACCGGAAGGAAAATAAAAACAGAGGTAAGCTGTTATTATTGCAAACATCGAGAATTACACGAGAAACTGCTTATTGTAAGTGCAAATTGATGGAGCATATGTGGTAACAACAGTATGACGTCAATCTGTAAATATGAACACCATTAATAAAACACATTTTGAAATAAGCTGAAAAGTTTGTTTCCAGATTCTTTTCTAAATGTCATTCTCAGCTGCTATGCGTACAACAGAAAGAAATTTAATTGATGCTGATTATAAAAAAAACATTGAAATTTCGCCTACATATGACATCACTTGAATTACAGCAGAAATATTAAAAAAATCAAATCAAATAGTCTGTCTATAAACCCATTCAATTGACATTCAAAAGAGTCTTGTGTAGACACGCGGCCTTGATTTAGGCTACACTATTACAATAACGATGGAGGAAAAAATAGGGGAAGGTGTTACAATGCGAATTATGTTATAAACGTTAACACTTAATTAAACAACGAGAAACAGTTAAACCATGTATGATGCTACAGTAGTATGTTGTATAGTAATGTAGTGTATAGTTACTGTATTTATAGTAATGTAGTGCATAGTTACTGTATTTATATATAGTGACTGTATTTATAGCAATGTAGTGTATAGTTACTGTATTTTTATATAGTTACTGTATTTATAGTAATGTCGTGTATAGTTACTGTATTTATAGTTATGTAGTGTATAGTTACTGTATTTTTATATAGTTACTGTATTTATATTTAGTTACTGTATTTATATATACTTACTGTATTTATATATAGTGTATAGGTACTGTATTTATATATAGTTAATGTATTTATAGTAATGTAGTGTATTGTTACTGTATTTATATATAGTGCATAGTTACTGTATTTATATATACTTACTGTATTTATATATAGTTACTGTATTTATAAATAGTTACTGTATTTATATATAGTGCATAGTTACTGTATTTATATATACTTACTGTATTTATATATAGTTAATGTATTTATAGTAATGTAGTGTATATTTACTGTATTTATATATAGTGACTGTATTTATAGCAATGTAGTGTATAGTTACTGTATTTTTATATAGTTACTGTATTTATAAATAGTTACTGTATTTATATATAGGGTATAGTTACTGTATTTATATTTAGTTAATGTATTTATAGTAATGTAGTGCATAGTTACTGTATTTATATATAGTGACTGTATTTATAGCAATGTAGTGTATAGTTACTGTATTTTTATATAGTTACTGTATTTATATACAGTTACTGTATTTATATGTAGTGAACAGTTACTGTATTTATATATAGGGTATAGTTACTGTATTTATATTTAGTTACTGTATTTATATATACTTACTGTATTTATATATAGTGTATAATTACTGTATTTATATATAGTTACTGGAATTATATATAGTTACTGTATTTATATATAGTGTATAGTTACTGTATTTATATATAGTTACTGTATTTATATGTAGTGTATAATTACTGTATTTATAGTAATGTAGTGTATAGTTACTGTATTTATATATAGTTACTGTAATTATATATAGTTACTGTATTTATAAATAGTTACTGTATTTATATATAGTGTATAGTTACTGTATTTATATATAGTTACTGTATTTATATATAGTGTATAGTTCCTGTATTTATATATAGTTACTGTATTTATAGTAATGTAGTGTATAGTTACTGTATTTATATATAGTTACTGTATTTATATATAGTTACTGTATTTATATATAGTGTATAGTTACTGTATTTATATATAGTTACTGTATTTATATACAGTGGTCCGTTATATACATGTAGTAGTCACTGTACCTTAAAGTATCTCATACAATATATAGCTACTGTATTTTATTATTATTATTATTATTAGTTACTGTGTTTTATATTATAGCATTATATATAGTTACTGTAATTTAAAGTGTGACATTATATATAGTTACCGTATTTTATATTATAACATTATACAAAGTTACTGTATTTCATAATCTAACATTATTTATAGTTGCCGTATTTTATATTATATCATAATATATAGTTACCGTAATTTATATTATAGCATTATACAAAGTTACTGTATTTCAAAGTGTAACATTATTTATAGTTGCCGTATTTTATAGTGTGACATTATTTATAGTTACCGTATTTTATAATATAACATTATTTATAGTTGCCGTATTTTATATTATATCATAATATATAGTTACCGTAATTTATATTATAGCATTATACAAAGTTACTGTATTTCAAAGCGTAACATTATTTATAGTTGCCGTATTTTATAGTGTGACATTATTTATAGTTACCGTATTTTATAATATAACATTATTTATAGTTGCCATATTTTATATTATAACATTATTTATAGTTGCCGTATTTTATATTATAACATAAGATTGAGCTTGTGTTTTTCATAGTATAACATTTTATCACATAATGGACTGTATTATCCAGTGGATATACCAATGTCATAATTTTGCGTATTAAGTCATGTTATATGACCTATCAGCCCTGTGATTGGTTGTGAATTTCAATTGTTTCAATTGTGACGTCACGCCTAGGACAAGTATATGACGTCACAGACTTATGCACTGGAGTCAAAATGGCGGCTTTTTACATTACAAGGTTGCATTAATTGTTGTTTTACACGAATGAATGCCACAAAGCTTGATTATGTGATAAAAAGGATTCTACACTCGTTTCCATTTCATATGAGATTTATGAAACCCGTCACGAATTTTTCATGTTAGCTCGCCAGAGGCTCACTAAATTGAAAAATTCTTAGACTAATTTCATAAATCTCATATGAAATGGAATTTCATGTTAGATCCTATATATATCAAGTTACTGTATTTTATAGTATTACATTGTAAAAACTTACTTATTTTAAATGGATCGAATTATGTATAGTTTCTGTATTTGAGAGAATCACATTAACTTAATAGTAAATGTATTTTATAGTATGAAATTGTGCATAGCATTTGTATTTTATAGTATCACATTATACTTACCTTACATTGTTTACTGTATTTTACAGTATCACATTATACTTACCTTACATTGTTTACTGTATTTTACAGTATCACATTATACTTACCTTACATTGTTTACTGTATTTTACAGTATCACATTATACTTACCTTACATTGTTNCAATTTCATGCAACCTCGAAATGTAAAAAGCCGCCATTTTGACTCCAGTGCGTAAGTCTGTGACGTCATGTACTTGTCCTAGGCGTACATTGTATCACACTTTATATCGTTATTGTATTGAATATTATATATAGGATCTTACAAGAGCTTCCATTTCATATGAGATTTATGAAATGAGTCTAATAAGAATTTTTCACTTTAGCGAGCCTCTGGCGAGCTAAAATTAAAAATTCATTACGAGTTTCATAAATTTTCATATGAAATGAAAACGAGTGTAAGATCTTTGTATCACTGAATCAAGATTTGAGGCATTTACTCGTGAAACTGGACAATTTCATGCAACCTCGAAATGTAAAAAGCCGCCATTTTGACTCCAGTGCGTAAGTCTGTGACGTCATGTACTTGTCCTAGGCGTACATTGTATCACACTTTATATCGTTATTGTATTGAATATTATATATAGGATCTTACAAGAGCTTCCATTTCATATGAGATTTATGAAATGAGTCTAATAAGAATTTTTCACTTTAGCGAGCCTCTGGCGAGCTAAAATTAAAAATTCATTACGAGTTTCATAAATTTTCATATGAAATGAAAACGAGTGTAAGATCTTTGTATCACTGAATCAAGATTTGAGGCATTTACTCGTGAAACTGGACAATTTCATGCAACCTCGAAATGTAAAAAGCCGCCATTTTGACTCCAGTGCGTAAGTCTGTGACGTCATGTACTTGTCCTAGGCGTACATTGTATCACACTTTATATCGTTATTGTATTGAATATTATATATAGGATCTTACAAGAGCTTCCATTTCATATGAGATTTATGAAATGAGTCTAATAAGAATTTTTCACTTTAGCGAGCCTCTGGCGAGCTAAAATTAAAAATTCATTACGAGTTTCATAAATTTTCATATGAAATGAAAACGAGTGTAAGATCTTTGTATCACTGAATCAAGATTTGAGGCATTTACTCGTGAAACTGGACAATTTCATGCAACCTCGAAATGTAAAAAGCCGCCATTTTGACTCCAGTGCGTAAGTCTGTGACGTCATGTACTTGTCCTAGGCGTAACGGCACAATTAAAACAATTGAACCTTACAGCCAATCACAGGGATGATAGGGCATATTACATGGGTTAATACACAAGATGTACGCAAAAAAATATGACATGGGTATATTCACTGGATAACACAGTATATTATATGAGATAAAACATTGTATATAGTTACTCGTTTCTTTGGTTTCACATTGTATTTAGTAACTGTATATCGTGTGTTTATCGTATTGGATCGTATATAGTTTCTATCTTTGACAGTGTCGCATTATATTATATAAAGTAACAATATGTTACTGTACCACAGCATAATAATTCCTGCATTGTATAGCATCACATTACATGTATATATAGTTTCTACATATAATATTATGTAGTTCATCATTATATATAGGTTCGCTAGTTAAAAGTATCACATTCTATAGAGTAACTACATTTTTATTGTAGCAGAATTTGTATAGTAACTTTATTTTACAATATTACATTATAAAGAGTTACTGTATTTCATAGTATCAAAATTTTTGCTGCAGTTACAAGGTATTACTTTTTTTATTGAATCAGTAAGATTCATCAGTTTGGAAATATTTTATAGCAAAGTTTTACTTTTTTACACACAAATAATGTATTTATTAAGAGTGATACTAGTAAGATTTTACAATTTACAATGATCACATCTAAAAACGAATTGTTGAAATAACTGCCAACTGTTTTATACCAGACCACAAAAATGTTTGCGGTTTCTAATGAATTTATATGTTCTATATTTTCCCCATTAAAATCATAAATTTGATA